CGAGCGCGCCAGTAAAGAAAAGTGAGGTTTCGGCGAAACCATCAACTTCTCGAGCTGTGGCTCAGCTACTTAAAGTGAATGCGGCTGGTGTTAACGGCAGCAGCAAAGCTGATAAAGTAATTGCCAACTATCAAATAGCCAAGGCGGCTTACAAAAGTGGCCAGATTACAATTGAGGAGGCGCTTAAATTGAGTGTGCAACCAATTGCAACTGCAGTTAAACGCACTGCTGAAAAGGGCAACAGCCCAAAGAAGAAGAGTGCTCAACTGGATTCTATTGATCTGAGTGACAGTGATGTAGAGATCCCGCCATCTGACGACCACGAACCAACTGCAAGGACTGAGGACACACAGAAGGAGGCAGCCAGCCTCGCCAATAAGGTTTGCATTACCAGCGATGTGCAAATTACTCCACCTTCCACTTCTACTGGCGTACGCGACGCTCCCCTCAACGTGAAGCCTGCGCCACTATTCCTGGCAAATGTCACTGACATCTTGTCGCTACTAATCCGCCTGGACGAAGCCATCGGTCAGGACAATTATGGCACCATGCGCACGGCCAACCATGGTATTAGAGTGCAGTGCAAGGATGTCGCTACTTATCGCAAGCTGGTAAAGTACCTTGAAGTAAATAAAGTTGAAAACTATACCTTCCAGTTGAAAAGCGAGCGCGGCTTCAGAGCCATTATTAGAAATTTGCACTACTCCACTTCGGACCACTGGATCCGTGAGAAATTAGCCAAGTTAGGGCATCAAGTCCGCTTTTTGAGAGGTATGAAATCTCGCTTCTCTAAGGAGCCGCTTGATCTCTTCGAAGTTGAGTTAGTTCCCAGTGCCAATAACGCTGAGTTCTTAAAAGTCACTGCTATTGGCAATCAACGGGTGAAAGTTGAGAGGCCGTACAAAACGAGCGAAATAGCTCAGTGCCATAGGTGCCAAAAATTTGGGCACACAAAAAATTATTGCCGTCGCCCCTTTGTCTGCGTTAAGTGCGGCGAAAATCACGCCTCCACTGACTGCGGCAAACAGAAAGGTGACCAGACTCCGGCTAAATGCGCTAACTGCTCGGGCCCCCATGCTGCGAGCTACAAAGGCTACCCTTCTTTTAAAGAGGCAAGCAAGAAAAGAGTTAATGAAAGCGCTATGCAGATTACAAAGATCGTTAGCAATTTAACTAAGCCTGCTCCCACTTCATCTGCTCAGAGCAGTAGAATGAATTTGCCAAATCTTTTCCAGCAAGTCCCTCCTCAGCCTCGACCTCAGACTGCTAGTGCTGGGCCCAGCTATTCAGCTGCCCTCCGGGCGGGTCTTCAATTTGATCAGCCTGTTACTTTTGCTCCTAATAATGGCCAACAGCGCCAGTCTAGGCAAAAAGCTAAAAATCTCGCCCAACAACGACTTCAACAACAGCAGCAGCAACAACAACAACAACAGCAACTGCTTCAACTAGACCATGTGCGTTCTCAGGCTAGTGCCCAACGGCCTCCGCAGCCAAAAAGAAGCCGTAGCCTAAGCGCGCGCCGTAAGCACCCTCAACAAGCAGCTGAGGTGACTTACCTTAATAATGGGGTTGGCAATCCTCAAAATCCTGAGCAGCAAGCAAACTCTAATATGCTGTCTAATCTGATTGTGCAAGGCTTCTCAAGATTAGAGGCTAAAATTGATAAGCTCATTGAGTCGGTGACCTCCCTCACGGCCTGCCTGATGGCCCAATTTGGTCCTAATGAGCGCTTCAATGTCTAATAATACACCTATCGCACATATCGCTAGTAGTATTAACAACATTAATATTGGTATTTGGAATGCTGCTGGTATTACAAATAAGCTCTCTGAACTAAAACAGTATCTAATTAAGCATCAGATAGATATAATGCTTGTATCTGAAACTCATCTTACTGACAACGACAGCACTGCAATTGACGGATACATAATGTACTTAGCAAACCACCCTACAAATAGGCGCAGAGGTGGCGCGGCAATTATAATCAAGCAAAATATTTGCCATTATGCTATGTGCTGCTCATCCTTGGACACGTACCAAAGCGTTGAGGTATCAGTCAGCTTACAAAACGGCAAGCACGTAAATATTGTGGCCATTTACTGCCCTCCGCAAGTTAGCTGGTCGGATCAAGACTTTAAAAATCTGCTTAAATCCCTGGGCGACATCTTTATAATAGGCGGGGACTGGAATGCGAAGAGCCAATGGTGGGGCAACGCCAGATCCTGTAATAGAGGCAGAACATTAGTCAATTGTATATTACAAGAAAATTGCAATATCTTGGCAACTGGGTCACCAACACATTTCCCATTCAACTCGCGTCAAACTCCATCGGCCATCGACTTTGCGCTCTTCAAAGGCATCAGACGGGATTTGCTAGCCATCTCTGATTCGTTTGAGCTCAACTCCGATCATCTACCTTTGCTAGTTCAGCTGGTCGAGAAGCCAATCATCAGTAAAGCAAAAGGCCACCTACTGAATATGAATGCAAATGTTAGTAAATTTCAAAACTACTTGAATGACAGAATCCTGCTAAACACTGATATCAACAATGCTGATGATGTTGACGATGCCGTTGATATATTTGTCAATAATATCAAAGATGCTGCAAACTTTGCTAATGCTCAATGTCCACGCAAGATATCTATGTCTAGATTCCGAGTAAGAAAGCAGACTCTCCAACTGATTGAGGCCAAGAAGCATATCAAACGCTTTCTTCTTCAAAGCCGAAGTCCGCTCGCGAAGCAGCTCTGCAACAGACTTTCAAATCGCATCCACAAAGATATCCAAGCTGCAAAACGAAAGTACGAAGAGGAGTTATTCAGTTCTATCGACCCCACAGATAGATATAGCATGCAGAAACTATGGCGACTCACAAATGAGATTAAACGGCAGCCTGCTCCAAATCTGCCTCTGCTGAAGTCCTGCACTGGCAATGGCTCAAATGCTCGCAATGTATGGTGCAAGACAACAGCAGAAAAAGCTGAATTCTTCGCTGATAGCCTTGAACGGCGATTTAAACCTCTCATCTCCACGTCGCCTAGTGACTTGGCTGAAATTGAGGCGCAAATAAGCCACTCATCCTCGTCTTCTTCGCTCTCATTTCGGCCAGTCACAGCAACAGAGGTCATCAATCATATTAGCACTCTGGAAAAGATGAAAGCAGCTGGTTTAGATAATGTCGACAACCACACTATAAAAGCGCTGCCAATGAAGGCTATACTATACCTTGTTTTGATCTGCAACAACTCGTTTAGATTTGGTCATTTCCCCTCTTGCTGGAAGCTAGCAATGGTGAAGATGGTGCATAAGCCTGGCAAGCCTACGCAACACGCCTCATCATACAGGCCAATAAGTCTATTGTCTGGCCTCTCTAAGATTCTAGAGTACCTTATTCTGAGTCGAATGCTTGAACAAGATGCCCTTATCAACGCTATTCCTAGCCATCAATTTGGATTTCGCAAGGGTCACTCAGCTGAGCAACAGCTGGGGCGTGTCTCACAGTTTATACTGAGATCGTTTGAGGATCAATCGTATTGCTCTGCTGTCTACATGGACATTAAAGAAGCATTTGATAGAGTATGGCACACAGGCCTGAAATTCAAGCTCAAGATGCTCTTGCCAGATGCCCTATATCGAATGATGTGCTGTTATTTGTCAAATCGCTCGTTTGTTGTTGAGTGTCATGGAGGATGTCGCTCAGCGATTAAGCAGATACACGCTGGAGTGCCGCAAGGCAGCCTGCTTGGGCCAGTACTGTATAATATATACACTAGCGACATCCCTAGACCTACATATGAGTCTGGAAACAAAATACTTATTGCCACTTATGCTGATGACGTCATTGTCCTCTCAGCAAACCGTGTGCAGGCAAACGCTCTAGCTCAGCAACAGGCCTACATGGACAAACTGGCTCAATGGGCAAAAAAGTGGTGCATTACAATTAATGCTAGTAAAACTAAGCATGTCTTGCACACTTACAGGAACACACTGCCGTATCAGGCTATTTGTATTGGAAATGAGGCGATTGAAAATGACACTTCTCATCCGTATTTGGGTGTCATGATGGATTCAAAGCTGAACTTCACTAGTCACGTCACTATGGTTGTCACGAGGGTTAGGGCTAGGCTGAAAAAGATAGATTGGCTTATTAACAAAGATAGTAAATTGTCTCTTAAAACTAAAACTATAATTTACAAGCAGTTAGTTGCCCCACTGTGGCAATATACTATACCTGTCTGGGGTGCACTCCTGTCTGAAACTCAGTTTGATCGCATCAGAGTCATACAAAACAAAGCACTGAGAACTGTATCTGGCGCTCAATATTTTGTTTCAAATGCTCGCATCAGATCTGAACTTGGTGTCTTATCTGTGGATGAGCAATTTAATAATATCTGCTCAAAGTACTACGAGCGACTACGAGTACATAGCAACAATGAGGCTAGAAGCATAGCCCATGATCCGTTTGTCCCACAGCGACTAACAATGCCCAGATACTCTAGCCTCGTAAATACTCACCTGGCTAACGAAATTGAAATGCGCTCTCAGCGACAACAGCGAAGACAAGCTGAAGAAGATGCGGAATTCCGTGCTAGTTATCTTCGCCGTCATCCTCCGGTGTATGGCCCGATTACTTTCCGTGAGCACAGTCGCAATATTGTGAGTGCAAGGCTCACTAGATCGTATCCAGCTTCAACACGCAACACAAGCGAAAACCTTCGCAGAATAGCAGCCCGACGCAGATACGAGGCTCTTCGCAACGATGCAGCTCGTCGCAACGACGCTCCACCAAATGACGCTGCCACACACTCATCCTCTTCAGAGGTGGCCCTCAACATAGGCAACGCAGCTGCCTCACAGTCGCGCCTGCCAATCTTCCAGCAACTGGCGCCGTTGCCACCCACTACAGGCACTTTGCGCACACACAACACAAATCCAGACAACCCTCCGGCTGAGCAAAGCGGGTCGTCTCCAAGCAACTGATTGCAGCATATACACTAAAAAGAATATGCAATTCAATTAGAATTCCAATTGGCCATCAGTATATGCAACAACTCACCTGTAAATTGGATCGACTGCACATATCCTATAAAGGGTATTCTAGCAAATAAAACTCAAATTGGATATTTATATTCAATTAAAGTTTTATTTTGCATGTATAGGCATACATGCAGTAAACAAATACTACAGTGCACTGACTAATATCAACACAAACGCACTTAACTAAACTAGCGGCACTACTCGATGTTTGGGACGCGGAGTCTTCTCAGCTACTTCTTCTTGTACCACTGGATGATATACTGCAAAGAAAAACAAAAAATATTAAGTATCAACACTCTTATTTACATTTGCATAATTAACATAACCTTGCAGTTAGCTTGCTTTCACACACATCTCTGCCTTGTAGTGCACATACTCTCTAGTACTTGGTAGTAAGCTGCTGCAATTTGTAAAAACAATGAATTAATTAATATTCAATTATTAATGCTTTTATTAGTATTCTTATTAGAAACTATACTTTCCAGTTGCAATTTTGCAATTAATGCACTTCACTTTTCGCACCATATGCTTATACAACATATGTTTTGTCTTTGCATATCGATAGACATATAAACGCAGTGATGCACTATCACTTTCACGATCGCACTTGCGATGTATCTAATAAATTTTAACTAAATTAAATATGCTAAAATGAAAAGAAAAACCCATTGAAAATCAAATATTGAAAGGAAAACAACTATTACTATTAATTATATTACTCTTATACTACTAATACTATATTTAGCTTAAACAACCTATGGGGAAAATGACTAGACTTTGTCTTGAATTTTCTCTTTGAATTGAATGGCGGCATTATGGCAGCTAATTGATCTGCGCATCTCATAGATGCAGCTGAAAATGAATTTAATTATATTAACTCATTAGTTTACAACTAGCAATTTAAGCATATCAATGTCATCTACTTCTGATCTGCTCTTTTATACGTACACATATATCACAATGGTGCACTGCTATCTTTTGTTGCGCTTGTGGCCATTTAAACTAATCATAGTTTCGCAAAATATCGACCGAATGTATATTCTTTAAAGATATCTTTTAGGCGCAATTTTAATTCTAAGAAAATACTATTGTCAAAGTATTGTATGAATAAAGAGCATCAATAGTGTCCAAAATATAGGAGAATTTAAAAAATCACTATATCTTCAGGTCCGATTTGCCACGCCCCCAATGGGCATAGACTTATAATTTTATCTTAAGACTTTATAGAATCATACCATTAGCTGACGTGCAAAATTTCAGCATTCTAGGTTTACAACTTTAGGAGATACAGTTTTATCCGATTTGCCACGCCCCCAATGTGCGTAGATATATCCGCCATAGCTTGTGATCTTGGGTGGTCAACGCGGACCTACATACCAAATTTCAGCTTTCTAGCTCTTTAACTAACATGATTTCTGGTATATCGCAAAATGCATTTTTCGATTTGCCACGCCCCTAGTGGGCGGATCGGGAAAATTTTAACACTTTATAAATCGGAGATATACACGAGTATGTGTTCCAAATTTCAAGTCTCTAGCTTCAATAGCGCCGAAATAGATTGCGTTCATACGGACAGACGGACAGACGGACAGACGGACGGACGGACGGACAGACGGACAGACGGACGGACAGCAAGACGGACATTGCACAAAACCAATATACTGATTCACTTTCGTGAATGAGTATAACAAGTAAGAAGACTCTAGTCGAGACTGCTCGACTAGGAGATACCCTGAACCCTCTAATCTGATATTCTAATCACTCTGCACTTCTTTTCGGCACACGTACATACACACGCACGTATTAGAAAGCGCTCTGCTAACTGCGCAGTAAGCAGCGACTGCGCTTGGGCTGCGCTGCAGTGTGGGCAACATTATAAGAATTTATTTGTTGAATAATTTAATTTCTAGACGTACAATCTTAATGAAACTTTCAGGACGTAATCATATGGTGAAAATGTATGTACATTTTAAAGCACATGTCTCTAGTACTTGAAATACACCTTTAACAAAGGTGAGGGTGAGGGGGTGGATATCGGGGTGGGAGGTAAATTGCAACAAAAACCGAAATTATATAAAATACATATAAGTCTACATTTTAAATTTGGAAGCTCTAGCTCGAAAGGTGTAGGAGATATAATTAAATAACTAGCTTTCGATAAGGTTTTTAATCGATAATAAAATATCGGGAGTAGTTATCGATATATAAAGAAAAACTTGATATGCGCAAGATATACACGGACCAAGGAAAAAAAATTTCAAGTCTCTAGCTCTTATATCTTCTGAGATCGACACGTTCATACATACGGACGGACGGACGGACAGACAGACGGACAGGGCCAAATCGACTCCGCTCGTCGCCCTGATCAAGAATATATGTACTTTGTGGGGTCTGCCGCGCCTCCTTCTGCCTGTTACATACTTTTAACAAAACCATTATACCCTGATTTCCCATTTTCAATGGGTTCAGGGTATAACTAGCAAAAATTTAATATACACTTACCTGCAAAACGGCCAAAAACTCGACGAGGATGACCAATGACGTTCCTATCTGCCCCTAGAGATGTTAATGAGAAAAATTAAAACAATCATCTAATTAATAACAATATTAAAACTAGCAAAAATGTAAAATATACACTTACCTGCAAAACGGCCAAAAATTCGACGAGGATGATTGACGACGCTTCTATCTGCCCCTAGAGATGTTAATAAGCTTACCTGCAATGAGAAAAATTTTAAAAAAATCATCTAATGAATAACAATATAATAACTAGCAAAAATTTAAAATATACACTTACCTGCAAAACGGCCAAAAACTCAACGAAGATGACCAATGACGTTCCTATCTGCCCCTAGAGATGTTAATAAACTTTCCTGCAATGAGAAAAATTAAAAAAATCATCTAATTAATAACAATATTAGAGCTAGCAAAAATTTAAAATATACACTTACCTGCAAAACGGCAAAAAAATTCGACGAGGATGACCAATGACGTTCCTATCTGCCCCTAGAGATGTTAATAAACTTACCTGCAATGAGAAAAATTAAAAAAATCATCTAATTAATAACAATATAAAAACTAGCAAAAATTTAAAATATACACTTACCTGCAAAACGGCCAAAAACTCGACGAGGATGACCAATGACGTTCCTATCTGCCCCTAGAGATGTTAATGAGAAAAATTAAAACAATCATCTAATTAATAACAATATTAAAACTAGCAAAAATTTAAAATATACACTTACCTGCAAAACGGCAAAAAATTCGACGGGGATGATTGACGACGCTTCTATCTGCCCCTAGAGATGTTAATAAGCTTACCTGCAATGAGAAAAATTAAAAAAAAATCATCTAATTAATAACAATATAAAAACTAGCAACAATTTAAAATATACACTTACCTGCAAAAAGGCCAAAAATTCGACGAGGATGATTGACGACGCTTCTATCTGCGCCTAGAGATGTTAATAAGCTTTCCTGCAATAAGAAAAAATTAAAAAAATCATCTAATTAATAACAATATTAAAACTAGCAAAAATTTAAAATATACACTTACCTGCAAAACGGCCAAAAACTCGACGAGGATGACCAATGGCGTTCCTATCTGCCCCTAGAGATGTTAATAAACTTTCCTGCAATGAGAAAAATTAAAAAAATCATCCAATTAATAACAATATTAGAACTAGCAAAAATTTAAAATATGCACTTACCTGCAAAACGGCCAAAAATTCGACGAGGATGATTGACGACGCTTCTATCTGCCCCTAGAGATGTTAATAAGCTTACCTGCAATGAGAAAAATTAAAAAAAAAATCATCTAATTAATAACAATATAAAAACTAGCAACAATTTAAAATATACACATACCTGCAAAAAGGCCAAAAATTCGACGAGGATGATTGACGACGCTTCTATCTGCCCCTAGAGATGTTAATAAGCTTACCTGCAATGAGAAAAATTAAAAAAAAATCATCTAATTAATAACAATATTAAAACTAGCAAAAATTTAATATATACACTTACCTGCAAAACGGCTAAAAATTCGAAGAAGATGATTGACGACGCTTCTATCTGCCCCTAGAGATGTTAATAAACTTACCTGCAATGAGAAAAATTAAAAAAAGCATCTAATTAATGACAATATTAAAACTAGCAAAAATGTAAAATATACACTTACCTGCAAAACGGCCAAAAATTCGACGAGGATGATTGACGACGCTTCTATCTGCCCCTAGAGATGTTAATAAGCTTACCTGCAATGAGAAAAATTAAAAAAAAATCATCTAATTAATAACAATATAAAAACTAGCAAAAATTTAAAATATACACTTACCTGCAAAACGGCCAAAAACTCGACGAGGATGACCAATGACGTTCCTATCTGCCCCTAGAGATGTTAATAAACTTACCTGCAATGAGAAAAATTAAAAAAATCATTTAATTAATAACAATATTAGAGCTAGCAAAAATTTAAAATATACACTTACCTGCAAAACGGCAAAAAATTCGACGAGGATGATTGACGACGCTTCTATCTGCGCCTAGAGATGTTAATAAGCTTACCTGCAATAAGAAAAAATTAAAAAAATCATCTAATGAATAACAATATAAAAACTAGCAAAAATTTAAAATATACACTTACCTGCAAAACGGCTAAAAATTCGAAGAAGATGATTGACGACGCTTCTATCTGCGCCTAGAGATGTTAATAAGCTTACCTGCAATGAGAACAATTAAAAAAAATCATCTAATTAATAACAATATAAAAACTAGCAAAAATGTAAAATATACACTTACCTGCCAAACCGCCAAAAATTCGAAGAAGATGATTGACGACGCTTCTGTCTGCGCCTAGAGATGTTAATAAACTTACCTGCAATGAGAAAAATTAAAAAAAAAAAAATCATCTAATTAATAACAATATTAAAACTAGCAAAAATGTAAAATATACACTTACCTTCAAAACGGCCAAAAATTCGACGAGGATGATTGACGACGCTTCTATCTGCGCCTAGAGATGTTAATAAGCTTACCTGCAATGAGAACAATTAAAAAAAATCATCAATTAATAACAATATAAAAACTAGCAACATTTTAAAATATACACTTACCTGCAAAACGGCCAAAAGCTCGACGAGGATGACCAATGACGTTCCTATCTGCCCCTAGAGATGTTAATAAACTTACCTGCAATGAGAAAAATTAAAAAAATCATCTAATTAATAACAATATTAGAACTAGCAAAAATTTAAA